GGTAGCCGAGCGGTCTAAGGCATGCACTGTCGTCGCTCGCTCGGAAGCCGGGATCGTGGGTTCGAATCCCACTCAGGGCATGGATGTTTGTGTGCGTTTTTCTGTGTTTGTGTACAGGTAGAGGCCTTGCGACGAGCTGATAACCCGCCCAAGGAGTCCTACCGAATGTGTAAGATCTAGAAAAGCTGAAGTGAACGGAGAATTTCATGGAGGTAGGCCTAGGCCCACTGGGGCTGTAGTGCCAAGGGGGAAAATAAAGACGGAAGAAGTAACTGTAGGATACTTACTGGACGAGAAGGTTCATAATTAGCAACACACATATCTCATTGTTTGGATTGTCAAATAGAGGATGTGATGGGAAGGGTATATAGAACGCACTGGAGAAATGAATAATACATATAATATTTTAGTAGACAAATATGAAAGAAGAGACCTCTTACAAAAACGTTACCGAAAATTTGAGGCTGATATCAAAATATACAGAGTGTATCAAAGAGTTTTGATACACCCTGTATATTAAAGGTGTAAGTTATTGTATTGGATACTTCTGGCTCCTTTGTACACGATAATGAATTTTTTGTTCCCTAAAAGGCGTGTAATTTCTTGGTGAGAAGAGTGACTATTATATTTCCAAAAATAACTTCGTTCCATGGAACTATTTTATGTGAGGCAGACGTTCACTCGTGAAGTGTTAGTCGCCCTCTTAGCACTTAAAATAATATTTGGGAATGTGATAAAAAAATAATTGAAATTTGAGGTTTTATATGTTAAAGGTAAACGAGATGTATTGAACTGTTAATGTATAAGGTTCTGCTTATTTATAAGTAAAATTAAAATTGATATACATCAAGTGCAACAATACAAGTAATATGTTTTTGGACATTATCCATCGTCTTGTCTATTTAAAAAGAGGTCCTGTTTCTTTTTAAAGCACAACGTTTCGGAGACTGCATTCTGTCCCCGTCCTTGGCTAAAACCTACTCAGTTGGGTCTCCAGAGATAGGGGCTAGCTCTATATATTTGACCCAACTGAGTAGGTTTTACATGAGGACGGAGACAGAATCCAGTCTTCGAAACGTTGTATTTTAAAAAGAAACAGATTTTTTAAAAAAATAGGCAAGACGATATCCAAAAGCATATTACTTGTAGGAATTTACCATCGTCACAAACTTTTAGATCTTAAGTGCAACAATGCTCTTTGATAATAAAATGAAGATCCCACATGTTTCGGCCAATGATGGCCGATATCGGAAGGGGAAAAAAGCTTCAAACGAAATGCTTCACTTGTATTACGTGCATGTGTTGTCTTGTTAAGGGTTTAAACACTTGTAGTATTTCAAAATACATTTTGTTAAAAATAAGCACCACAACCCCGCCCGCACACATTGGGTCAACACAGTGCAGACGACCCTCTGTGAAGGGACACGACCATCACTGGGGCCCTCAGTAAGATCTAATCAATCGAAAAACCTTTCTATCTAAAAAAACATTTTAAAGTACAAGTGGTTTAACCTTTAAGAAGATAACTCATGCAAGTAAGAAAAGTGAAGCATTTCGTTTGAAATGTTGTTTCTTTCCGCTGAGGGCCATCATTGGCCGAAACATGTAAAAGCTTAATTTTATTATAGAAACATTGTTGCATTTGATGGAATTCAGTCCTAATTTAACTTATTTTATTTTATTCTTTTTCCTTGGCACTACAGCCCCAGTGGGCCTAGGCCTACCTCCATGAACTTCTCCGTTCACTTCAGGTTTTCTAGATCTTACACATTCGGTAGGACTCCTTGGGCGGGTGATCAGCTCGTCGCAAGGCTTCTACCTGTACACAAACACAGAAAAACGCACACACACAAACTAAACATCCATGCCCTGAGTGGGATTCGAACCCACGATCCCGGTTTCCAAGCGAGCGAAGACAGTACATGCCTTAGACCGCTCGGCTACCGTGACCGGCTGCTTTCCTCTTAGATAGACATATTTTCTTCAGCACACTCTTCTGAAACACTCTCAGGGTATAATGTTCCTTTGATGTGAGAGATAAAGTTTCACAACTATACGAAACAACTGGTAAGTTTATAGTTTTCCATATTTTAAGGTTTACGAACAGTAGGCCTGTGTAGTTACTACAATAAATGTTGGGTAATTACAAACAAACACGTGCGACGCGATCACTTAGCTACAAAAGTTTACCTTGAATCGTGCTCGTGATGCATGAGCCATATTTCTTGGTTTCTTCAAAGACAATCCAGTGACAACCGTTTTTTAAAATACCGTTTATCAACTAGACAGCCGTTCCTCTGTTGCATACACAGTTTTGCCTTTCTATTTCCATATTATTTTAAACTTACTTTAACTTTTGGTCCTCTAGCAGGTTACTATAATTTGTATATGCATAATAACGATTGCATTGGTGTCTTTCATATCTACAGTTTCAAATTTAATCGAAATTCTTCAAATAATATAGGACATGAAGCATGCGGAAGGATGGATAAGCAGAGAGACAGATAGATAGGGTCTTCGAACTGTGTGTCTATTTTATTCACTTTGTGTAAAGTAGGAATAGAAATAGGTTAAAATCAGAAGAAAAGAAAACTCCATTCGCAGGAAGAGTGCATAACAAAAAAAAAAAAAAGGAACTCCGTGATTTTAGTCCGCAAGCGAACTATACCGACTGAACGACCGCCGCTTGTCGGCAAAGTTAGTGCCAACTTTTGCGGGTAGATGGTTTCGCGTGGTCAGCGCAACGGTTCCCCACGGCCGTTAATTTCGGTTTTCTAGAGCGAAGCCGTTATTTCCTTGAAATGGCTCCTTAATTATCATCACGAGGCTGAGTGGACCCCGTTCCAGACCCACTACTTCTCAGAAAAAATATGGTATCTCCGGGAATCGAACCCGGACCTCTGGATCTATAGCCAGGAACTCTGACCACCAGACCACAACACGAAATCTTATTCTTACTGAAGGCCTAAATTTTGTACGGCTTAATTTGCGATATAGACCTATTCGCTACTTACACAAACAAATCTCTAGCAGCTGAATAATGAGGCTAATGCCTCATTCGTACAATGCATAATTTGGCTTGTTGAAGCACTTTAATCATGGGGGTTAGTACGGTCTTGCTTTGCGTAGCAAAGCAGTAGAACACTCATACAAATTTCTGAAGCGTGGAAAGCAAGTTGGAAGCCTTGACTTTACCTGACGGAGGTGGAACATTACTAACCTGTTAGTAACAGACCTCGCTTAACTGGACAGTGCAAACATGATAAGAAGTCATTTGTCAGAAACACAGAAAATACTGGAAGAGTATAAATAAGTAGAAAATTGAGTCATAGAAACTTGATTAATATCGTATGAATAATTAAATAAATTTACAGAAATATAAAAACATTAATTACTTTCACTTTTCCTCTTTTAGTTATTAATATCCCACTCAAAACACGGATGTCTGTGTTTGTGTTGTCCTGTGTGTAGGTAGCGGCCTTGCGACGGGCTGGTCACTCGTCCAAGGAGTCCTACCGACTGTGTGAAAATATTACGCAAATGAAGAAAAGGCCAGGGCCCAACAAAGAGCTATAGAGTCATTGATGAATGAGTGAATGAATTACGAGTATTAATATTTTAAGTTGTTTTTGTTTGTTCCCTTTAGCTACACATTACATGAAATTTCTATTGATTCGTAAAGGCCTTAAACTCGACGAGTAAAGTTACCTCAGATATAATTTAATTACTCCTCTTGCAACCTTAGAACTTTATTATCATCACATTAATTTAACATTAGAAACATACAAATATTTTATTTTCCTCAGCTTAAAAGTATAATTTACTTTGTGAGTCACATTTAGAAAACTGCTGTCAGTATAAAGCTATTCACAGATGAGAACCACAAAATTTAGGATTTGGAATTGAATGCAAGACTGGATTTTAGTACTTGAGTTCTAACATACTTTGATGAATTTAATCCTCCAAAGTAGGGCCGTATTTTTATTTAAGATTGGAAGAAGTCCTATTTGAAATACGATCGTAAACCGAGGACTTCATCGTGTTAAATATTTAATGTAGTCGTCTTACGGAATATTATCGTGTGTTCATTTAGAACCTATTTACGCGAAGTAAAAAGTGTAAGTCTTTTAGCTCTGTAAAGTGTAAGCTTTTGTGTCGAGGTATCAGCGATAACAGAATTCTTTTTTCAAAGGAGGGTGTAGACAGATTTCCTGGGGGGGGGCAGTCATATTTTGCTTATTATCCTAAATTGTTCAGGATAGAACACTATTTCTTTTCGAGGTGGTAATATTCAATATATTTCCTTTTTTATTATTTTCTTTTTAAATTCAGAAGGGGCGGATACCTGCTGCCCGCATCCTGCCAGTGCCCATGTGTGGGGCGATGCACATCTTACTGTTCATGACATAATAAACATGGCACTCTCAGTAGCCAGCCCCTTTTTATTTTAATAACTCTCATTAAGATAAAACATATTTATAGCTTGAAATCACTCAAGTAAGAGATTTCAGGAAAAAAAATTGCTACTATTTTCAAAGTTATTGCAATCCCTAACGATGAGTAATGATTTGATTTTAACGTGGCAGTCTCTGTGGAGACAATATTGTACATTTGGGAAATCAGAGTAAATAGCGTCCGCGTGGACTTAACAATATGCGTTTCCTTCCGTTGTTGTGTAAGGACTTCTTGTTTATATTTCAATGGACCCATTGACATTGTCTTCTTTTGTATTTAAGGATCAATTTACAGGCAATAAGAGACACTTAGCACCCGAATGGGAAACTACATATTAAGCAGTGAATATGTAATGCGTTTCACATGTACTTACTTTGTTCGTGAGTAATATTGCATGAACACCGACTTCTTGGAATGCTTTCGCAATTTATGTACATTTAAATCATCCTTATTATCAACCTGTTGGCATTGTGCAAGGTTAACTGACGTTGTGACGTTTGAGCGAGTTCTTATAAAAACCAGACTTCACAGACCTGAGGCTCATGCTGTCAATTGTACCGGCACAGTGAATGTTACAAGCTACTCTGAGTTCAGGCGTCTTTTAGATTGGTGAAACTCTAAAATTTAATCTGTGTGCACATAATTGTGCGAGTGTATATTGGCATACATGTAAGTAATATCGGCCACAATCTTTAATGACAATTCTTTATTCTTGATGAATTTTATTCCAATCCGTGAACCGGGACACAAATCTATAAGCAATAAGTAAATCCACGTGTTTTGTCAGTAACATTCCAGTGAGTGTATGTGGTTAATTTATACTGATTAAACATCATATAAAGATTTTTCATACTGAATTTTTCTATAACTACATAAAATTACTTGTTTGGAAATAAATATACGATATTTTCTATATATTCCGTTCATTTAATTTCAGAACATAAATATACAAATATTTTTACAGGTTCTCATACACGTGGTAAGAGAATTTTAAGCACTAGCAAATCGAAATTGCTTAACAGTATTTTTACGTCAACGTAATTATCTTGAGTGTGGCTATGACATAGCGCATGGAGTTTTCCTTTGTTGAAACTGTACTGAGTGAGGTAAACAAAGGGCAGCGCCATAGCTCAAGCGGTTAGTCGCTGGCTTCCCACCGCACCGGTCCGGGTTCGATCCCGGGTCTCTTCAAGTGGAATTTGTGGTGGATAAAGTGGCGCTGGGGCGGGTTTTCTCCGAGTACTTCGGTTTCCCGTGCCAATCTTCATTCCACCAATTGCTCCACAATCACCCTCGCCTATCATCTGGGGCTGGTACAATAGGCCAGAAGTGGCCGCAGTGCAAGGGACTTAGACCCACGCCACTGGCAATAAAAAAAGGTAAATAAAGGCAAAGTTCTCCCCTTGCTTATTTAATTAAGATTTGCACCATGAAGGCATATGGAAGAGTGGTGAGCCCCGGAGAAGAACTTGGCCGTGCTCACTGGATAGGGGCCTGGATGGGCCCCAGAGCCGGTGTGGACCCTGTAGTGTACTGAGTAAATGTTGCACAATTTTTGACATGGGCATATTATTTAAAACGTAACGCAATTTTTTTTAAGTTTAACCCAAGTATCTGCATATATAACAATTAAACGTTTCGCTGCGAATCTAATTAATAAGCAGTCGTGGACAGCCGACAAGGAGTGGTCGAGCAGCTTGAGGTTTGGGCGGAAAGAATATGACGTAATGTTACACAGGGCCGGATTCTTAGAAGGACTTTCGTAAATAGGGTAGTGGATATCTGAATCCAATAAATTCTTGACTTAGCAAGAAGATCTTGTAGCATGAGTTGCAAAGTTCACAACGCCGGGAGTAATGAAACAGACATGAAGCAGTTTGGTTGGAAAAATGTATGCAGAATTTTGGCGCGGGAGCTGGTCGTAGACAGATACGTGGAAAATGAGAGGACAATACTGAACTACAGTTTAGAAAAATAGATTGTGAAATAAAGAGGTTCAGGACCATGTCCGACAAGTGAAGGCTGATGTAATGGCGCTGATATTTAGGTACTGTTACTAGAGTGTTAATGGTCGCCACCAAATGATGCAACCTTTTGCAGAAAACGATGCGATAGGTGGCTCAAATGATCCGAACATTTTTATTAACCGGAAATAGATTAACTGTGATTACGGTGATTAAAGGAGTAAATATTGGTGTCTTTCTATTTTTTCCAAATTATATACATACAATGTTACTTAAGTATTGATGAAAAGGTAACAAATTGCAGCAAGGTGCATAGCACAGTATATCAAGGGACAAATTAAATGGTATGTTCTGTCCATGATGTTGCTAGGTAAATTAAGATACATATTAGATATGACGTTCTCAAATCAGCGAAAAATACGATATTCAGCAACTTCGTTGTCCTGGTGGTGCCGAATATCACAACTTATACTGCATTTTGAGATGGAAAATTTGGCAACCCTTCTATTAACCGAAAAGTATGTAAAGTTCATTTCCCTCGGACATATAAATGTGTGTGTATGTGTGCGGAGGGAGATATGTTTCCTTAGTCTCCAGATTCTAAACAGTAGCATTGATTTTTACAGATAAATCTCAATACACCGAAGAGACGATGACACCCTTGAAGCACATCTGTTCATTAATTTTACCTCTGGCGGTTTTCCTGACTCCTATGTACGTCTCAGCTCAAGGTTTGTTACTCGTAGTCGAATTATTTAAATCGTAAGAAAATTCGTAATAAGGATAAATTGTAGAATATTTTTGCCTCATTTGCTGCCTGCTTCATGCTAATTTCTCCCTTGGCTTACTTTTCAAGCCTAAAGAGACAGGCGACGTATTTCTCAAAAACATCCGTTGACTCTCAAAGGACTACGAGATAGAACCCTTAATAGTCACCGTTATGAGAACCTCAAATCCTACGATGATATCTTCTGTCGGTTTTAGATGCACATTCTTCTCCGGCATCGACGTCGGCTCTCCCGGAGGAGGCCGGAACATCGAGCTCAAAGGAAACACATGAGCTGGGCGGCATCGAGAGGCCATTCGGCCTGTTTAGTCGGCTCTTCAGAACATTGTTTCAAATCAGTTTACATGACTTAGCTGAAATCCAGAGATACTTACACAGGAATATCTCTGGTTTCACAACTGAAGCATGCGCCGTAGAGGAAAATCGCGGGCCCTGTGTCTACACTTATGCTTACGACGCCTTCATAAACAGAAATGAAACCTGTTCTATATATACAATCGGAAATTGCAAAAACGAGATCAGAAGGTAAGGAATCCTTAAAAAAACATGGAAACGTTCAGTTGTCTCTGATTTAGATTGTAAGACAGCCGAGAAGAGTGAGTAGATTCTAAACGGTTCTGACGGTGGTGTATAACACATAAAATTACTGGAAATTCGGACTTTTCCCATCGTCCGGTATTGTATAAAATATATAACGCGACGTTTCGGAAACTGGCTCTGTTTCCGTCCTCAGGTGAAGGGGGAGGACACCTACTCAGTTGGGCCCCTTAGAAAGATCGAATCCAGCTTTTGAGATTAGCTCATTCTAAGGGGCCGAACTGAGTAGGTGTCCTCCCCCTTCACCTGAGGACGGAAACAGAGCCAGTTTCTGAATACTGTGTTTTGTATTTTCTAGAATACCGGACGATGGAAAAAGTCCAAAACCAAGTAATTCTAGAAGAGTGAGGGTTAACAAGATTGGAAAGGCGTAACTTATACCTGAGTTTCCAGTGCATTTTCTTCGCAGTTACTTTTTAATAATCCTAATTGTTACAAATAGATGTCATTAACATGTTAACAGTGATAAGTAAGAGTATATTTAGGGCCGCGCCATAGCTCAAGCGGTTAGTCGCTGGCTTCTCACCGCAGCGACCGGGTTTCATCCCGGGTTCGGTCAAGTGGGATTTGTGGTTGACAAAGTGGCGCTGGAGCGGGGTTTCTCCGAGTACTTCGGTTTCCCCTCCAAATCTTCATTCCACCAAATTTTCCATCATCATAATCACCCGGGGCAGGCTACAATAGGCCAATCAGTGGCCGCCGTGCCGAGTGGACCCACTTGGACTCCAGCCCCCACTAAGCGAATTAAGAAAAAAAAAAGAGTATATTTACCTATTTATTTTCTTCGTGAGAGGAATATTACATTTATTACTCATAACATACGTATTGTATTGTATATACATGTATATATAAAATGTATATACATTTTAGTTGTTAGAAAAAATATTTAACACAGAATTTGTAAGAATGTATATGCTACACGCCAGACTTAACATATTTGACTCCAATGGTTTTTTAATTATCATTATTAAGCTAAAAAACAAGCATTTAAAACGCGCGGCATTTTCTTGTCTTATATTTTACACGTACGAAAAGAAGAACTAACTGCTTAACTAATTAAGTACAGAGGCCACATTACATTACCTTACCAGTTTCAGGCAGCATTCCAAGACATAATATCCATGTCAAATGTAGTCAAAATCCGTTAGTGATTTTCCACTTGAAACATGCGGGCAGACGGAGAGATAAGGCCAGCCTTTCGTATGTTAATTTTATGCGCGTATTTCGAAGAAAGAATAAAAGCGTTAATATCCCAGCCATTAAAATTTAAAAATGCCCAAGTGCTTTTACCACCCTCGACAGCCACTTATCTTTCCCTCCCGGAGTATTGTTGGTTTATGTGCCCTTCCACACCCTTTCACACACACACACACACACACTCAAATTATATCATCCTCTTGGCATTTCACAAATTGTTTGCAGTTTGAATGGAATGGAAGGTTGAATAATTTGAATCCAAGATTTTAAATTTGAATTTAGTATAAAAATAGCATTAAGACACAATTCACAGATCCGTAACACGAATTCTTTCGAGCCTTGCTTTAAAATGTGAAATACAAAATATCTTTGCTCTTCCTCATGCAATGTGCGAATTAGTTCATGGACGAAGCATTTGACGCCAAAGATTCCCCGAAATCTGGATTTGGTGGCGTTTGTCGTGACTTAGGTTTTGCCGCCTTATTTCATGAATCTAGAATCTGCTTTCAAATCCTTGTTCTAGTTGACTCATTCTTCTTTTATTTAACAACATTTTGAGCTCAGCGAGTTGAATGAGACAGAAAGATAATCATGAATGAATAATAATTTGGAAGGAAAATGTCGTGGCCTATTTGAAATAGTATCCCGAAATTCACATTGATTAACCGAGAAATCTTAGAATTTCTTCTATACTCTGCACCTTCCAAAAATAAGTTAACAGCTTTGTCACTAACGCGGCCTGTTACGTTGAATTCTTGACGCACCGATCATAGTTGCCGCTGCTGTTCGTTTTTGGAAGGTCCAGTGTTTGTGCCATCTCGCGTTAGTTAGGTAATCAGCATGTTAATTGGTCGTGCCCTTGGTGACATTGATTGTACGAATGTAATACCGTTATATGTACGTATGTATTCTTGATTATTTTCCATTTTCATTTACAGGTACACAGACAGGGGCTGTGTTCACAGGTGCAAGTTGGTACCAGGTAACAAAATCTCTCATTGCCATCCTGACATGTAGCATAACGTATCTGGGCTAGGCTGGACGAAAGGAGGGGTATTCAAAACACATTTTGTGTAGGCTGCAGGATTCACTTTCACATGTAGTTTTAAGAATAATTTAAGGAGTAATAATACAGATTTCGCCCTCAACGCAACAACCGTTTTACTCATTTGGGTTACACTTGGATTACACTATATGTTTCGACCCTTAAAATGTCATCTTCATGTGATTCCAGTTACACATTAATAATTACAGAATTACGACGTGAAATTAATTAATTACTTAATCAATTAATAACGTGTAACTGGAAACACCTGAAGATGACCCTTTAAGGGTCGAAACATGTAGAGTAACCCGAGTGTAACCCAAACCAATAAAAATGTTGGTGCGTTGACAGCGAAATTGGTATGATTAATTGTACTTATGCAACAGGATGCAAACTATAAAAATAGATTAGAATTTTACGAGAATAATTGGGATTAAATATACTGGTGTATCACTCACTCATGTAACTGAGCCCTTCTTGAGAAGCCGCGAATTGTGCAGCTACTCAAGAAATTCCCAGTATTTTATAGACCCCGAAGGTTCATTACTGTGTTCATAAGAGCCTTCCACTGGTCCCTATCCTGAGCTAGATCAATCCAGTCCAACCAATCCCATCCTATCTCTCTAAGATCCGTTTTAATATTGTCCACCCACCTACACCTTGGTCTTCTCAGTGGTCTCTTTCCATCTGGCTTTCTCACCAATATCCTATATGCATTCTTCATCTCCCCCATTTGTGCTACATGCTCTGCCTATATCATCCTCCTTGGCTTTATCATTCTAGTTACACTTGGAGAAGAGTACAAGTTATGAAGCTGCTCACTGTGCAGTTTCTTCTGACCTCCTGTAACTTCATATCTCTTTGGTCCAAATATTATCATCAACACCCTGTTCTCAAACACCCCCAGTCTATGTTGCCCCCTTAATGTCAGAGACAAAGTTTCACATCCACACAGAACCACAGGCAAAATTATAGTTTTGCATAATCTAATTTTTATGTTTTTAGACAGCAGACGAGAAGACAAAAAGTTCTGGGCTGAATGGCAGCAAGCATTACCCAAGTTCAATCTCCTCCTAATTTCCTCCTGATTCAGGTTTTGATTTGTTATAGTCGTTCCCAAATATCTGAACTGTGCCACATTTTCAAAACATCTATTAACTATCTTTATGTCATGATTTTGTCCTGTATTTTGGTGATGAGACAGCAACATACTCGTATAAAAAAGTAAAAAAGTAAAGCTATCCTTGTACCAGGCCGTGGAGGCCCATAGGGTTGTGAGACGTTGAGGGTCCCACATTATCTAGACAGTTGGCTCAAAGATGGCAGTAAGGTTGTCAGCCTTACTCGCCGGCCGCGCGTTACTTCCCAGGAATATTATTTAATTAATTCCTGGTACTCATTTCTGTTAGAGGCTGAGTGAATCCCAGGGCCATAGTGCGGCCAGAAGGATTGGGCTCATATATAGTTAGATTTCTCTGTTTACTTCTAGCCCAACTTCCTTACTAGCATAAATTATTATAATTTATATTGTTATTTATTGAAATCTTAGAATATGCTACAACCTAAAATAATATTATCTTCTGTATTGTTCGATGTAATTTGTTGACACATAGTATGGCGTACTTTTATTATATGAATAATATCACTTACAAGTTTTCATGCATCATAATTTAATATGCAGTGCTCTCTTACGGCAAGCTAATACAACAGTAGGATGTAGTTAGATATTTCTTAACTAAAATGTGACCAAAATTTTACCTAAACCATTTTCACTCACTTTTTTTACATCTCACCTGACCAAACAAATTGGACTTAGCCTGACAGCCACTTGTGGTTGAACACAGGGATGGCGCAGATTTGTTCAGTAACTTTGGAGCCCTTCCTCAATTATTACATTAATCTCCAGGCTGATCACTAATCTTAAACATTACAGGAACAGAAGGTTCGCTATCATTAATTCTGAAGCTTTCTTACAATGGTGTATAACACTCGGAATTACTGGGTTTTGGACCTGAGAATTCAGTTTTTACTCCACAGATGATGCTAGTGGTAGGCACATAATGGAAAACTTGTAAAACCTGAGTACTCAGTTTTTGCTCCATAGGTGGCACTAGCGTTAAGCACAAAATTGTTTCACAAATTTTCAATTTAATTCTATGCATTGGTTTTCATGCACTTGGTATGTTGGCTAGGTTTGTTGAATAAAGTTTCCACCTGCCTTTCTGTCTTAGTTTCAGGTCTGTGCATGCTTTATCACAATTTTTATTATGTATTTTCCTGTTATCTGCCTTTGAAAAAGCCTGGGTAATTACATATCTGAAGTTACACTTACATGGATTTTTCACATGGCTTTGAAACTTCTGTACATATATATATGATTATATAACAAAATTTTGCAGGCAAAAAGCAGAAGTCATACAAAATCATGAAAATGCAAATTTTTGCAACACTGGACAAGGTGAACTGCATCACAGGAATTATTAGATGCTTAAACTTGGTGGCAGTCAAGCATATGACCATTCAAGTGACTAAACTGCTGTTGTAGTAAAAGCTACTATGGTCAGGGTATGATCTGCTGTACTGAGACTGGAATGACAAAGGCCTTGTACATATTGTACATGCATTTAATAATGTGTGAAATGTAAATTGTACATACTGACAACAGACGTATTACTGCTGACTGTGACTGTGGCAAATAACAGATCTATCTTCTCATCAGAGAGAGTGCTTCACGTCAACAAGCCTGCAAATGTCTGACAATAATAAAGATCTGGTATTAAGCCCCAGATGAGTGCTTTATTCCAAGACAGACTGGCTGACTGTTGGTCATAACATAACTCTGATTTTGATTCTGACGTGGGTTGTCCAGTGACTGAGGTTAGCTCTTTCTAAGGGACCAGACAGAGTAGGTGTCTTCCCAATCACCTGAGGATGGAAACAGATCCAATTTGCGAAAATTTGTGTTCCTTAGTTTTTAGAATACCGGACAATAATGAAAGTCCAAAAACTAAGTAATTCTGAGTTTACTATGGTGTTCACAAGAGCCCAGCACTGGTTCCTGTCATGTTTTGGCAAGACATATATATAATACGAGTATTATCCTCCTACATACAGTTCCAAGTTGTCTCCTTCCTCCTAATTTTCTTGCCAAAACTTATATGAATCTGTTTTCCATGCATGTTATATGGCATCACGATCTGATCCTGCTTTAATTGATTATACCGGTAAAGTTTGGCAAGGAATATAAATTATAGAAGTTCTCATTTACATATATGTACATTTATGTCAATTCCTTTATTTACTCAAATTGTGTTGTATTTTTATTATTGCAGCTAGGAATTCTACAACAGAAAATGCAGCTACTGCTTCAACTCCCACCCATGCTTGAGCCTAATGCTCAAGGAGGTAAGTTCTTCATATGAAAATGAGGGTTTGTTGTTTATTGTACTCATTTAAGATAAACGTATTTAACATTAAATTTTAGTATTACAGTAGAACTTGGTTATAACGTCATCAAAGGGACCTAAAAATAGTGTCGTTATAAACGAATGTCGTTGTAACCGAAATGGGCACTTCCACAGTATCCTTATGTTAGTCACGTAAAAATCTACCAAAAACCGAGTTAAAATGTTGCATTTTTAGTGAAATACGTAGTTAAGTACAGACTAAGGTAACATTAACGTGGAATTGCCCAAATGTGTAATATCAAAGACATATTACAGCGCTTTTCACTGACAATACACACCGCACTAATAGTACTGTATATTAAAGGTAGGCCTACTCACCAAATTACAGTAGATTACATCAATTGTTGTGCCTTACTGTACCTAGATACGAGTACAGTAATCAGTTATCTTCATCTGTTTCCTGTTACTTGCCC